TACATAACTTAGCATTGAGTTACGCAATAACAACGTTGGCGTGTTCATTTGTCATGTACTGTTTGCTTATTGTGTTAAATAAATATTACAGAGCATTATCCTATATTTGTATTAATCATAAAAATTTATTTTTATTAATTACTCAAAGGTTATACATCCAGCAAAAAGACATTTGTCATTTGTGTGATTGAGATTCTGTTTTTAATTTCTCGTAAAGTAAAATTTGTGTTTTAAAAAACTACTATTACATTAAAAACTAATTACTCAATATTATTCACACATTTCAGAATTATTGACCACTTAGAAAATACAGGATACATACGCTGGAATAAATACGCTGGAAATATTATTTAAAGTATTATTTTTTAAACATTATATGTTTATAGAAGATATCCACTTAGATATCCACATAGATATCCACTTTTTTATGTAGTTGGTGATAGTAACAATTAAATAAAAGATGTAATATTTACTGTTAGTACTTTGTTGTAGAAGTTTATAAAAAGCATGCTACATCGTAAGCTGTCTATAGATCTTTCGCGTTCAACTTCGCATTTCCACGACAGGATGCGAAAGTTGGCATAAAAGTTTGTTTTAATTCCATATGTTAGCAAAAAATATTTGCTTTCGACGTCAAATTGATTACAACGTTTTTGCATGTTAAAGTTCGATATGTCGCGAAGTGGAAGCGGTACAGAACTTGTATCTGGAAAAACGCTCTAACCAATCTATATGCTGAAAGCGAATATTTTTTGTTAATATACGGAACTAAAGTAAACTTCCATGCCAACTTTTGCAAAATATCGTGAAAATGTAAAGTCCTACGCGACAGATCCATACTACTTTGGATACGGCATGATTTCAATAGGCATCTGTAACAAAATACTAAGAGCAAATTATTGTTTTTATCCAATAATTACCAATAATACCATTGTCTCTTTAAACAAAAAGTGTTTAATAAATAATACATTAAGCAACATATTTAATATATACATTTGACAAATGTGTACAATATTGGAGTAATTAATTACTAAAAATAAATTTTTATAACTTTATCCTAAACACTGTATGTTAGAAATTTATTTTTAAATTAATTTAAAAAGTTCTGAATCCCATTAAGCTTAACATTTCAATTAAGAATATAAAATTAAAATAAAAATTTGGTTTACTTATTGCATACAGCTAAATTAATTTTGTTTTGGGTAAAGTTTTATAATTTTTGTAAAAAAAATAAATTTTTCTTTTAAATACATGATAAAAAATGAGTTCTTCTAAAATTTTTATATTTTAAGTAAGTATATTTTATCAGCAAGAAATTTTCTTCGCAGAAAATAGCCATTACTTAAAAGAAAGGAAGTAAACTGAGTAATCACTTTTCTTAACAATATTTGTTTATGTGTTTGTATTGTGTGTGTATATTTTTGTTGTTCTGGAACGTGCATTTTAGATATCTGTCTTTATCATTACTGCATGTAAAATTAACAATAAAAATAATTTTATTCTTTATTCTATTGTAGATGGTGATGACGTCAATGGAATACCTATCTGTGTTGCTGACAATGAGCAATTAAAAGAAATAATAGTTGATAGTTAATAATAATAATTAGAAGTGATAACATATTAATTTAATATAATTGTGCGCCACTTATTTTATGATGAATGACTAAACTTGTTATATGTACTGTATGTTAGATAATTGTACTAAAAAAATACTATCTATATAGTATAAGTTCTTTATAAAAAGATTAGATTATAAGAAGTTGTCCCTAAAAAGATATTAAGACTGTTTTATTGTTTCCTTTTTGCTTTATCTTTTAACATATTAGTTAAGGAGCTTATTCACCGGATATGTATTTTCAAAGCGCACAAGTTGTGTATTTTCAATGACGTATCAAGCGAGCTAATTATAAATTCACTATTTATTGATCTATAATCGACCATTATACAAACACGATTTAGCAAATATTATTTTTTTTCCTATTCTATGTTATATCTAGTATATAAAATTTATAAAATTTAATTTAATATAAAATAAAATCTCTTTTATAATAACTTTTATTAAATTTTTATTTAAATGATATTATTTTATACGAAATAATTGTCATCTATATGATATCCATAGTGCTCCTTCATCTATAATAGCTTATATATTGACACTATTATATACTACATTTATTAAAAATTTGTAAAAAAAATAAATTTCATATTATACAAAGAACGTTTGGTGTGGCTAGGTTATATTAAGTTGCATTGCGACTCACACATTTATACAGAATAAAATTTAGAATTTGAAGTATATATTAAATCCTTCATTGAGAGAGAGAGAGAGAGAGAGAGAGAGAGAGAGAGAGAGAGAGAGAGAGAGAGAGAGAGAGGGGGGGGGAAGGGGAAAGGGGGAGAGAAAGAGATAAACTAAAGTTCTATTTTAGTGTGAAAGAAATATGGATGCTTTAATATTTTGAATGCTACTCGTATGATATATGCTATAAATGTCTTTATAAAAGTATTAAAAATATTAGCACGATCCACTAAGTTTTTTTTATAAATCTTAATTTTATTTTTTTTTTCAAATTTTTAATTAATGGGGTGCCTATTTGACCATGTTTTTGTAGTCGTGATGCTAGCTTTATCAAAAATACAAAAAATATCTAGTAACTTTCGTATAAAATATCTCACAATATAAATTCATGAAATTTCCAGCGATCATTGTTCAAACTATCAATGGGATAGTACGCAACACGACTTGCTAACGCTCAAGCCTTGAAGGACAAAATTATATGAGATTACCGTATAATAAGTCCACAAGTTTTGTGTCGGGTACGTAGCACAACGTTGTAAAGACTTACGCTAAGTAAAGGATGGAAGGTGGCTATTTTGAGCACCCATGACATTGGTAGATTGTTGACATGTTATGCATATTATGAGAGAATATATTGATGTATTTTTATATCCGCGTGTACTCTCCCATAATATAACTCCAATACATCTTTGTTTTTAAGCTCTATACATTGTAATATCTTGAAGGCACTGGAAAAAAGTAAAAAAGATAAGTATATTTATGCTATTATTTATGCTATATATGCAAAAAATATATAGCAAAATACATGTTTTTGTAAAAAAAAAAATTAAACTACGCAATTACTCCATAAAAATATATATTTTGCTATTTTAGTCTATATATTAGCAAATATTGCTTAAAAACATATTCCATTGAACCTGAGTTAATCGACCCTGAGTTATTAAACTCAAGTTCATTGGTCGAGCATTTTTGTATAAATTTTGTGATTGCCTAGTAGAGTCTTGTGACATCATTAATCGATCTCGGATTGATTAACTCAAGCCCAGTCGAATACGCCATTAGTAATACAATTCAATGTAATTCGACTTTTTATTTTCTAACGTACTAGTATTTTGCATTCGGGCTAGCAGTTCGCACAGAACATCTACGCTAACACCATCTATACAGTGCTATATCAATTAGATTTGCAGTTAATAATCTGTTTCATACGGTAAAAACAGTGGTTTATCTATTGGATTGAGTAAAAAATAGTTTCATATTTTTAGGTCAAATTCAAAGATGAAATTTTCATATTAAAAAATAACTTCATTAAACAATACTTAAAAAACAATACGCATCATTTTTTCATCATTTTTAGGCAATATAAAAATTACGTTTTTCTAGAATTTCCCATTTTTCTAAGTAAAAAACTCCTTAAAGTGTTGTTTGCAGGCCTCTAAAAAAGTGACATTTTTTCTATTAAGCGAATTCTGCAGAGCTCTGATAAGTGGAAATCTGATGGTGCCAGGTCAAGTGAATACGACGGATGAGAAAAGACATCCAATTTTGGCCAGGTTATCAAAGATACATATGGTCTAGCATTATTTTGATGAAAGAGGACAGCGTAACGATTGTTGAATTCTGGTCGTTTCTCGTCGATCGCTGTTTTCAAACGGTCTAGTTGTGAGTAGTATTTCCCAGATATCAAGGTGACGTCTTTAGATGTCATTGTTTATTGAAATCAATTGTTTGATTTTGTGGAAGCAGCTCGTAGAAAGAGAGAGAGAAAAAGAGAGAGACAGGGAAAGAGAGGGAGAGGGAGAGGGAGAGAAAGAAAGAGATCACACACGATCCACTTTCTGTCGCCCATTACTATTTGTTTCAAAAATAAATTGTCTTCATTGTGTTTGAACAATAAATCGCAGATAGAGATGCGGTCCACTAAATTTTTTTCGCTTTTTGTGAGGTACTCATACATCATACCGAGACATGTAACCAAACATGTATAAATGGTTTACACCTATCTTTTGAAATAATCTGTACAATGTTTCATGTCATATAATGTCGTATAATGTAGATTATTTTCAATCAATGTCTTGATTTTCATCTACCAATGATTTATCTGAGCATTTACTATCTTCATAAGTCGTATCACCACCACAAAATTTCGCAAACCAATTTTGGCACACTTCTTCATGTATGACATCCTTTCCTTCCGACCTTGCGCAATTGATTGATCCTATGTAGAACTCAGTCCAATCAGCCGTTATAAGGTTAATAATAATTTTAATTTCGCTAAACTAAAAGTATCGCATCCTGTTCCTCGGTTTGAGTGTTAATTTTGCTACCGTGTCTCCTAATGATAAAAATGTATCCGTCTTTCCTCATTTTTGCTTCAGTAATATTGCTTCTAGTTTTGTGCAACAAGCAGAAATAAAGAATAATAGTCGATTTTAATGAACAAGTACCTACATCAGGTAAGCAGTTTTCTTATATTCGAAGAGGAAACGCTGCATTCGCAATAACTGGTTTAAGGTATGACGATTGCACGCCATGTATTTCGTTATCGATTGTTATCCGCAAGGGTTTACAAAGGTACTTCCAAACACGGTAGCTATTGTATCCTCACTGTACTGTACTGAGCAAGCGCAAAATCACGGCAGCTTGGTATGATCACGAGGAGCGACTCAGTTAAACAATAATTTCCGTTGCGCTAACATCAATGAACGTCAAGGAAGGTAGAAGAAGTCTCTTTGGAACAAAAAAGCAAGACAATTACCACTGTGACGTCCTGCTAAAATTGCACAATCGCGTCGCGAAATACTTAGTTAATCTAATACAATTTATGTGATATTATAGACAGTGTTAATTAAAGTTATTTCCCGTGATACAAATATCGATGAAGATCAATCCAGCAATTGTTAGAAATTACTTTTTTTATGGTGTTAAACTTTAGATTAAATAAAAGAAATTTTCAAATATTTTTCTCTCTTTACAACGTATTATGCTTTGCACCGGAAAATGTGTTCTATTTTGAATATTCTTATAATATTTTATTTTCATGATATTTTGTTATAAAATAAAATGTAAACTTTATATATAACTTACTTTTCTTACTTATTTAGAAAGTATTAGAATGCTATATTCTCAAACGTTTATACTTTGTGTAATTGTTTAATATTATTTATTAAATATCTCATACTTTTAAAGAGAGAAGGATAAATAAATATATTATATAATTATATTATATACAAAAAGATTTAATCTTATCGCTTCTCTCGTGGAAAAACGTCGCGAAAATCATGCTTTATTACGACCAGTCTATAGATCTGTCGTAGAACTTCCATGAAAGTTTGGAAAAGTTGACATTGAAGTATATTTTAGCTTTATACGCTTGCACAAAATGTTCGCTTTTAAGGTAGTGATCCACTATAGCGTTTTTTGTGTAGCAAAGTTCGACATATCTCAAAAAACAATGTTACAGTGAACGAATTGATCTTTGTTTTCACCTGAAGTAACCAAATGACTATTCCTGAGAAAAGTGAAGTGATAGTAATCTGCTTTTCCTAAAATTAATTTTAGGAATTTTACACAATAAAGGAAATATTTATTAGGAAATAATGTAATAAAAAAATTCTTTGTAGTTTGAAATGTCTCACAAATTATTTCAAGATAACCATATTACGTTTGGAATATTATTTTGTTACTAATTTCAACATAAGTATTTATTTATATAAATGTAATTCTAAATTAATATAATAAGATGTTAGTTTCATTGCAATTTACTTTTATTAGATTTATGTCGCACGTTTGCCTTGACTCGGCAAAATCTGCGGTTACTAGGAATATGGCCTGATCCTGATATATCTTTGAGTGATTTTCGCCGACCCAAGTTAAGATGCATAATTGTGATGTGTATCATAAGCATTTATGTGTTTATGCCGCAATTATTGAATACGATACGTTCCTGGGGTAACGTGAGTTTAATGGTGCAACACATCTCTGTTGTTAACTACTGTATTTTGGCATTTTTTAATCTGAGCGTCACCTGGTATCACGGTAAATGTAAGTATAAACACTCCTTCTAAGATAGAAAAATAAATAAATATATATTATCAATAAATTAATTAGGCAGTATTAATTATTTAAATACTTCAAAATATCTATTAAGTTTTATTTTATTCTAAATGTAATATAACTGATATTGACTGATGACGCGTAATACAATTTTTCCAATTTTCAATAATAATTATTCAATAATTTTTTATGCATTTATGATATACTTTGGCAATTGATATACGTATGAATAATCGGCCAGGCAACAAACTTAATTTAACTTTGTGTCAAATTTGACTTCACTGTTTCCAATAGATATATTATTCGTCAACTAAGTAATCACTGTCGTTGTCTATGACCTTTCGTCAATGTACCCTTATAGAAATATCATACTGAGAATCATTGATTAATTACTTATTTTTCGTATTAAAAGTATAGTGATGAGTAATATTCTGTGATTCAAATCCAGTAAGTATTTCAGTGTTATAATGATACAAATACTACTTTATGATTAATTTCAATACTTAAATATTGATATGTAACACTTCGTTCAGTGATAAAATACTTACGCAAAGCATTGTCAATAATTAAATACTAATATGTAATACTTCGTTAAGTGATGAAATACTTACGCAAAGCACTGTCAAGAATTAAAATATTAACCCAGACAGCACACACTATTTATAATAATTATTTATAAAAATTTTTTATTTCGAATTATTTTTTTCAAATATTATATAAATATTTTATATACATAAAGAGGAAAAAGTATTAGAATCCTTATTCAAAATATTAAAATATAGGCTAAATATATTTTATACAATATTTATATTAAACAAAAAATAAATATTTGTAGTAATATTTTGTATATTACTATAAATATTTCTATAAATATTTCTATAAATATTATATATAAAAAAAATAAATATAATTACCTATAATTATTAAATTAATGAAGAAATAAGAAAATCGAAATTTAAATTTTAGTAATATACACTGAAAAAGTTTCTTTAAATCAAAAAAATATATTTTGTTAAATATAATTTTTTAATTTAAAAAAGTATTTGTTAGATTTTAGAAAATATGTAATAAATATAAAATAATATTTTTTAAATTTGTAAAATAAGCTGTAAAATTATGAATTTCTAGAAAAAAAGATTTGTTTGATTTAAAATATCTATTTATAAGAATAAGCAAATGATTTCCTCACAAGAAGAAAATTAATTTCTTTAAATGTAAAAACCGTGTTTAAATAAATATTTGCTTCTTTTAAAAGTAAATG